CCATGTTCCCATGCAATGGCTGCAATAAAGCACAGGAGCAAAGACCCTCGTCATTTCGTCAGTCCGTTCTTCAAGCACATTCGTTGTACCCCTATAGCGGACTATATGGTATGCATCCTAGAAAAAATTTTAAATTTCATTATAAGTTGAAGATTTATACATATATAAATATATTATAAGATACAATTTATATATAAATCAAGGTTGTTTTAGAGAAATATACATTATCTAATAAACATTTATTTTAACATAACTGCATAATTTTCTACAATGCAATATTAATTAAATCTAGGTTGTTTTAGTTAAATATACATTATCTAATAAACATTTATTTTAACATAACTAAAATAATTTTCTGAGATGCAATATTAATTAAATGAAGGTTGTTTTAGAGAAATATACATTATCTAATGAAATATTAATTTTAACATAACTAAATAATATTATAAGATGCAATATTAATTAAATCAAGGTTCATTTAGAGAAATATACATTATATAATAAACATTAATATTAGCTTAAATAAATAATATTAAAAGATGCAAATATTAATATACATTATCTAATAAATATTAATATTAACATAACTAAAGTAATATTCGAAATTTAAGTATAAATATTTTTGGTACACATAAAATCAAATATATTATTTTGTTAATCGTATTGATTATTTTCAATAATTTAAAGCAATACAAGTACACTCGTAAGACTCTTAGGAGAGGTATACATCTCCTTAGAAACACAGTCTTTTTGACAGAAAAAGGGGGGATCCGAGGATCGCTTAGAACCCGATTTTCCCAGGTCATGGGGGGATCATGATGATCGCTTAAGTCCCCATTTCCTTAGACATGCATTTCTTTATAATAGAGTCTCAATAAGTGTTGTATTGTATTGATTTAAATTATTGAAAATAATCAATACAATTAACAATTAAGTAAATTATTGTACAACAAATAAATTACTTTAACAAAATACAAATGACAAGTGATGATAAATAATATGTACCTTGTGGTCGTTCCAAACATCTCTTGAACGATGATTTGCTTGATCCTATAAAACTGTCGGATCAATCGGTCCTTGATCAACATAATATCGTTGATTGAAAATATCAACATTCGGCCCAACCTACGATAGCATAACAATAACATAAATCATTAGTATATAAATTAAATAAATCATTATAACAACAACAACATTGGGAAAAATGAGTACGTACCGTTTGATAATCATCATAAAAAAGACCCTCTTCTTGAGCGAAATCGGCCATTCTCTCGGAATCCGGACAGAGTTTCGACGGGTTTTTAGTGAAAACCAAAGAAAAAGTATTTTGGAGGCAGATCGGACTTAGCCGCAACCAACAAAAAAACTAATTCTAAGGTTGGGTGGGAAGGGATTGGGTAGAGAGAAGTTAGAGGGAGAGAGGTGGATGGTGTGCAGAAAAAAGAAGAAGGGGGGGGGGGGGGGGGGGGGGGGTTTATACTGCTCAAACCGCGTGGGGGAGGGTCGGTGGAGTAAATTCTCGCCACCACAAACCGCGCCCCCAGCACGCGGTTATAGTTTCCCGATGGTCAAACCGCGCATCAGACACGCGGTTTCATTTTCCCAACGGTCAAACCGCGCCTCGGGTAGGCGGTTTTTGTGGACGACACGGACTGCTGACTTGGCACACGTTTTATCCGTCTAAACGCTTCTCCGATTGGCGGTTTGATGCACCGCCACGTGGCAACACGGTTTGACAGCCTTGCAAGTTCAAACCGCGCCTTGGGGGCGCGTTTTTCTCTTTAACCGCCGCCTGGATTAGCGGTTTTATATGAAACCGCTCATTAAATGAGCGGTTTTAAATAAAGGGTGGTATTTTTGTAATTTTTTTTTAACAGTGGTAGTTTTGGATTTTTTCCAAAACTTTGTTTCTAGTTTTTCCTACTGCATATTTATCATATTTCATAAGTGCACTGCACATTAACCGTCGGCTTCTAAAGGTGGAAAATAAAGGATATTTTTGGACTGTCATTAATAGTTATTATATTGTGTAATGTATATTAGATATTGATATACAAATTATAAACTATTTTAATTATATTTTTTGATTACTCAAATTATAAACTATTAATTGTACCAAAGTCGCAATATGCGTGAGTCTTCTCTACATAGTTCGATGATGGAGTAATGAAAAATTTGATACAAATTCTACACAGATCTACAAAAGACAAAATTAGTAGAGTCTAAATTATTATAATCTTACTAATTTGTCAGAAATTTAATATAAATGTTTGTCAATTTCCTCAATAACTAGGAGAAAATTATTTTTGCAATTAAGGCACGACCCAATCGCACTCGGCAAAGCTACACAGGAGCCGCCAACCAGGCAACCACCATTGCCCTTTTCTTGTCTGTTACTTGACCTTGTGAAATTTTCTGCTCCCCAGCCCACTTTCCATATCTCTTCCTAGTGCAATGGATTTTCCACAACTCAATGATCGGGAGAATAATAATAATAATAATAATAATAATAATAATAATAATAATAATAATAATAATAATAATAACAAACAACATGATGACCACACACCCAAATTATTCAAATAGAAAAATAAATTCAAATGTTTCGTCTGAAAAATGAAAATGAGTGTTTGGGGGACACTTGTGAGTTGTGACACAATTGAGGCCCTATTTTATTATTGGTCCCTTTTCACATAATTTCATCTTGTTGCTCTTTGATTTGATTCGAATGTCTCAGAACTTTAAGAGGCCAGATCAGATGTACTCTCTACACACACACACGGAAACAGCAAAGAAATTATGCAACATTCCTTTCCATTTGTCTTCCTTTTTCGCAACAATGGGATTATTCAGTACCACAAAAATGAAAGAAAAGTTAGCTTTTAACAAAGTGAAGGAAAGAGAGAGCAATCCAAGCAATAAGAGTTACACGTCTTCTTCACACAAGAGAGTTCATTCAGTATTTTAAACCTATCCACAATTAATTAGTTTTCAACGATTCTAGTTTTTCGAGATGGTTTGAATACAAATATATAAATTCTTCTATATTTCTTCATCTCAAACGAAAGTCAATTCATAAACTTTAAGTTTGTACAGATTCGTCGTACCTTGTATTGAAATAAATTGTTTCAAATATTGGAAGTCACGATGATTAAAAACACTAGTCCTCTCAATTAAAAAACCCTTGTACCATATCAAGAGTTAATCAGTTCTAATAACTTGAATTGTTAAGAGAAGTTCAAACATGAATCACTCGTCTCCCCCTGCTGCTATCTGTCAAGAACTAGTTGATCTCAATAACTCGAGTTGTTGGGAGAGGTTCAATCGTGGATCATATACCGTTTTATTAACACCCCCCTTCAAACTCAAGCCATTCAGATAGGCTTGGAGTTTGGATAGGCACAGGTCCGGACACCGTGTGCTTAACAGAAACAACAGAAACATATCGGGGTCATCGGGAATCGAACAGAAGACCTCTCGGTCACAGAAGGCTCTGATACCATGTCAAAAACCAGTTGATCTCAATAACTCGAGTTGTTGGGAGAGGTTCAATCGTGGATCATATATCGTTATATTAATATCATGTTTGATTGACTCTTTAATGACCACGTGGCCCAAAGATCTATGGTCTATAACATTACCAAAATTCTAAAACTCTTGCCCACAAAATCAGTTCAAAACGATTCAATCGGCTTCACACAACTGCACTAAATCAAGATCAACACGAATTCATTAGAAGATTATAGATAAGATCATCACTACTTCTGATTTTGCAATCCTCAAAACGATCCTGACCCCATCCGGCTTGAGACAAGATCGCCACTTCTGCATTATCACTAACCATAAGATTCCCTTTTTCTTTATATCATTTTTCTCCATTCATTCATTACGATGGCTTTGGCTGTCGATTATGTCGCGATCGAATTGCTTTGTTTAATGCCAAGTTGCGGCAGCAGTGTTCGATGGTGAACGCCGAGTCGTCGTCTTATGAAACCTCACTCAAATTAGGGATATGACCAATGCGACAATGTTAAATGTAGTTTGCTGACAAAACAGCATCAAATTGGCCGTAACCCAATTGCATAGTGGTGGGTTTTAGTTCAACTTCCCCCCTTGCATTCTAATTCAACTCTCTATTGTGGCCGTGTCACGAGTTTAATTAGTCAACCAAGTTGGTGGTTGTGGAAGTAGAAGGGATGCAATTTACACAAAGTAGTCATTGAACTATGGGGTCAAGCAAAAGTTCCATCACATGGATGATAGATAATCCAATGCAATTTTGTTTTCATCGCACCTAATTGTCAGTGATCTTCCACTGATTTGGTGACTTGATTGCATCAATTGGATCGGATCAATCGATTGGTTATCTGTCACCGATTTGGGGACACAACTTCCATCTGCTGAACCCGACTTCACTAATATCCAGAATCAGTTGAACCTCTAATGTCATAACTGAATTCAATCTCACCTTAATTTATCTGAAATCTCTATGATTTCTTCCTCTACGTAATTTTTTTTAACTTTAGAGAGTTCGTGCTGCCTTTTTTACTTCTTAAGTTCAATATCGCTCCCACCTTTACTAGAAATCATCATGGCCTGTTCTTTCCAGGTGTCTTCCAGGTGCTCATAGCTTAACAGGGGTTGCATTATTTCAATTTTCTTATTAAATTTGAGGAAATAACACGGTAATACTAAGAAACTCTAGATTAAATACTTTTCGAACCGATTATCACTTAGACCAAATTTCGGTGACTTGTTTGTACAAAATTCAAAATTTGATGACCCATTTTGCTGTTGAGCCAAAAGTTGGTGAATGTTTATGTAATTTTACCCAAATGAACCTACCCCTCACCTCCAATTAAATTAAGTGGTTAAGAAGACACAACCGAAAAGGACAAAATGCAAGCTATGTGATTCAACTTTGTAATCAACCGGAATGATTCCCCCTCCAAAAGGATCCATCCTTTTCTTCCCCCATCTGCCCTTTCCTTCTGCTAATTATTGATTACCAAAATTTAATCACCGAAGAATCATCATTAGGATATTCATAATCTGAATCAGATCGATGATCGATGATCATAAAGATTAAATAGCTCATGAATCTATAACTCAACCAGAGATGAATAACAGAGAACTAAAATTGGTGGAACATCGCAGCTTGAATTCGAATCCGGGATTTTCGAAAACCCTCGAATCGAAAATCAGCTGCTTTATCATGTGAGTTCTCAATCCAAAAGAAGAAAACAGAGGACTAAAATTGGCAAACATGAAACTTTCAGAAACCTCCGAATTGAAAATCAGCTGCTTTCATCGTTCTACATATCTATCATCTTTGTACATCCACAAACTCGCTAATCCAATCCAAACCCACCGTAAAAAGAAAACTTTTTACAAACCCAGAAAAAGAACAAACAAACCCAAATGAAAGAGAAGAATAAAGCCGTGAAATTTGGTGTATTTTCCCCCCATTTTCGATGGATTCCTTTCTTTGTGGTTCAACAGATCGCCCCCGGCAACGGATTTTGAATTCCCCCCTTCATCTAAGAGTAAACCCATATTGGCAAAATTCGGACCTATGATTCAGGGGAAAAAATTCAAGTGCGATTACTTGCCTTTTTCATCTGCTTCCGAGGCGGCTGCTGCCTGCCGCCGCAGCGCCGTCGGCCGTCGGTGGGTGGCTTGGGCGTCGCGAAGATCCCACAGCAGGTGGAGACCTTGGGGGAAGGTGGATCGACGTTGGGAATCGGCGACGAGGCGACTTTCACGGACCGGTACGCGCGGCCGCCGGCGGAGTGGCTGCGGCGCATCTTGGCTGGCTCCGACGGCGGCGCGTCGGTCTTGACCTGGAGGTTCGTGGTGTCGGTGAGGGCATCGGGGGCCCCTGACGACGGATCTCCTCCTTCGCCGTCGCCCGCGGCGGAGGCGGCTGCTTCGGCGGCGGCTCTTTCAGCCCTTTCGGCGTCGGCCTGGCGACTGAATTCGGCGATGAGCTTGTCGTCCCACACGAGGCCGGAGGATCCCTGGCGGCGGTAAGACGTCGCAGATCTCTGGAGGCCGCCCAGCTCCATTTCTTCTTCTTCTTCTCTTTCTCTGGTCTTCTGCTTTCTCTCTCTTCTCTCTCTCAGTAAGCGCAGACTCCAACTTCTAGGAATTCATTTCGTTTATATAATCGGGGGAAAGAAATTTTTTAAAAATATAAAATGCTACAAAATTAGTAAAAAATAAAAATAATATAAAGCTGGTCTACTAGAGAATTCTGCAACGAGTGAGAACTGAGAAAGTAAGGAAAATGTAAATGTGGTCGCCATGTTGGACCTTTCACAGCTGCGGTAACTGCCAAATTTTTGGATGGTAAAAAAAATCGGGTTAATTGCAAGTTTGATGACTCGAATTACTAAAAACGTTCACGTAAAAATATTTAATTCTATTCGTGATCACTAAAATTAGTTAAACATTTTAAGTTTGGTCACTCTCCGAGTCTCCGTCCAACTCCATTAAATTTGCTTACGTGGCAGTCAACTCTTATAATTGACCATTAATTGTGGTGACATGGCAATTAAAAATAATAAAATAAATAAAATTTAATTTTTTACATTTTTCCACCTCAATATTGCAACCATTAAAAAATAAAATTTTCTTTTAGTTGTCGCAGGTGCAACAAGGAGAGTGGGTATCTGGGTTCTTGCCACGACGGCGAAATTGATCTCCGCGACATGTCATGATCTGGCTTGACATCGGCGCGGTGTTATCGTCAAAATCGAACGGTACGAGGCCCAATTGAGTACCCCACCTTCGAGCTCCGCCACCCCAAATCCTTCTCCAGCAGCTCCAACACTGATGCCTCCGCCACTACTTCCACCTCCGCCACCGCCAACACCACAATCTCCGAGCCACGCTGCAGCTCATGTGAGGTCCGGCCCGAAACTGCCTCTCTGAGCTCTTCGACCACGACGATGACGGACCAACCGTTGAGTAGTACGCCAAGGCGGAAGTGAAGGCTATGGTCGTCGTCGTCTCAGCTCGAGATGCTAGGAGGAGGAGATGAGGAGGAAGACGGGAGATTGTTTTCCGATCTCAAATCCCTTCACCGGAGCAAGCAGGGAGGAAGCAAACAGCGGCGGCCGCCGCATCCTCTCATCTCGCCGTCGGGCTCGACACCGCCACTCTACTTCTCTTTGCCATCACCGACAACCTGTATATCAACCCAATAGATCTAATTTCTTGATTTCCCCTAGTCGAATAGATGAAAACCAGAGGTAATTTCTGGGGCGGATAAAAACCCTAAGAGCGAGTTTGTGACGGAGAGATGTATGGATGAAGGAAGTAGCTGAAATCGATCACCACCTCCAGAACAGGGAATCGCCACGCAATTTCTTCTCCCCCGAACGCCCGAAATCCTCTCCACCAACACTCTCGATCGATTCGGACTCACTGGGAGCTGCTACGCCAACCATCGACCATCCTCGCTCAACCTTCCTCGGCATCTGGTTCTGGCGCCGTCGAAAACTTCAAAAATTAGGTTATGAGTTTGCTCAGCAATAGACGAAGGAGGAGGCAAAGTGGCAAAGTTCCTGTTCGTTCTCCCTCACACAGTCCCCACCGGCGATTCTCCGGGAAGAAGAAAAGATGGGCTTCTTATTAATCGACGAAGAGTATCGAGAGCAGATTCGTTGTCGACTTCGCCCAACGATTCACGCGGAAACACAGATCCACATTGCGACAGGTCCACGGCGCCGGTGGCGGCAACGACAACTAAAAGAAATTTGCTTTATTTTTTAATAGTTTCAATAATGAGGTGGAATTTAAAAAATTAAATTTTATTTATTTTATTATTTTTTGATTGACATGTCACATATTTAACAGTCAACTATAAGAGTTGACTGTCACATAAGCAAAAGTTAACGGAGTTGGATGGAGAGTGATAAAACTTGAAATATTTAGCTAATTTTAATGACCACGAATGAAATTAAATATTTTCAGTGACCAAACATGAACATTTTTTTTATAATTTTGGTAACCAACCTTGCAATTTACCCTAACAAATCCAACGAATTCCATTAATTTTTTAAGAACGGTAAATTTACCTCGATGGTAAGTATCTTACTTACCCTTTGGGAATAAATGATTGGGTTGTTTAGATGAGATATTCAATGATAGAGATGCCGTGACGGCCCCGAGGGTTGTGATTTGTGAAGAGGGGTGTCATCTAATGCACTAATATCTGATATAATTATTAAAGTAATGTCGGAAATTTTGTATTAAATTTTTTTAATATAAAAACAGTATAGGTTCTTCACAATTTTTTCAGGCGAAAGTCGAAAGGATGATCGACGACACCCCTTTCCAATAAGTAGGTCCGCACCTTGTATAGATGTGTTGCCGGCATAACTTAAGTTTCTTACTTCTTTTTTCATTTAAAATACAACCTCAAATTTGAAATCGGTTTGTTCATAAGTTCTCGTTGAAGGGACTCATGAGAGGTATTTTGCCTAGATCCTATCAACAAATTATAATGGATCATAGCATTCTAAGTAGAGTGATTAATCATCCGTTTTGTTATTTTACTTCTTTTTTCATAATTTCCCCGACAAATTCTTATATTGATGTTTGTTGCTCGTGTAATTTATACAAAATAAATAATTATCTATCTTCGATCGTAATGTAATGAATCAGCGGTATGTAGAACCAGTCAATTAGTTAGTCTGGAATGAAAGAATAAGATAGCTTTCGTGTACGTATACGGTAATAATACAACCATTTCTTTGAAGTTTGAAGCAATTATACTAACGCCGCCTGATTAGATTATGATTAAATAATCTTCAACGTATTGAATGTGATTACTCTATAAATATATAAGACAAAATAAACGTTTTTTAATTGATTTATGGAATTGACGTTTTGGTCGTTTATTCATGATTTTTATTTTTCATTTTACTTTGTCTATCTTCTACTACGTGGTTGGAAGTAATTGGACCGCTATTGTATTGAATCTGGGCCAATACCTTCCTTCCTTATCTTCTTGGGCCCATTAACGACTTCCCAAACTGGGTTCCATAAATGTGCTTGCTTTTAGAAGGACTCAGTCACTTCCTACAAACTATCTTCACCCCTATTACAGGTGGCATACCCGAAAAATTTATTAAGGGTATTCAATAAAAAATCTAAATAAAATTAAATATTAATTTACAAATTTTATTTCATAAAGTACATTAATTTGTTGTTTCTCTTTACGGTGAATCGCGACGTATTTTTTTATTTTAAGAAATTCATATAATATATAAAAATAATGGCAAGACATAAAAATGTAAGCGTTTTAAGTTTTAAAGAACGATTCTAATTATATTAATAAAGAAAAAGTGTGACACTAAATAAAAGCATTTGGTACTCATAAGTGTAAAAGTGTAAACTTTTAAATTTTAAAATGCAATTTTGACTGCATTGGTTCTCGCAATAAATTGAGAAATTTTAAGTGTGAGTGATAATTTCTAATTTGTGGAGTCAAAGGCGATAGTCATTGGCGGAGATTTTTATTCTCTTTTTTACTTGGAAGAGTTTTTATTCTCCAAAGAGGAAAATAATGTTAATTAAAAATTAAAGAGATTTGCTTAGGCAAATAGGTTTAGGAATTAATTTGACTCCTCATATATTTTCTTTGTATTTGTATAACAACAATTGGATGAAAATTTGAATTTGAAAGTCCAAGAGTTGTCAAATTAGTTAGCGTTCAAATTCATTCACCAACAATATATACTTTAACATACTAAATTTGGTCCATTTTATTGCTTAAGGTTTGTCAATTGACAACCCTTAGCAAGAAATGGGTCCGCCCCTGCCTAGTACCCTACTAATACATCGAGTTAGCGTGTCGAATTCGAGCGTGTTCACCTTCACAATTACCTATGTACTACTCGTTCATTCCAAATCCCTCCAATTTTGCAATCCTTGTTATTAGCTGAAGATAGTTTGAAAATCACATACGATCCCCCTAGAAGAACTCTATCAGTCACCTGCATTCTATCTTCTTGTGTACCAATACGGGATGGGATTAGGTGCTAACCCTTATAGATGTTAGCACCGTGATAACTAGCAAAAAACGTTACTAAAAATAACGAAATCACTACGGATTATTATAAAATCAATACAACATCTAAGCTAAATCACTACTAATTCAAACTAGTAGTAGTTTTTCCCTTGATTAGAACGGTGCTAACTATTGTACAATTAGCATCGTAGCCGTTTCCGTACCAATACACTGGGATGAGTTAGAGTGTCAACCTCCAGCGTGTTCACCTTCCACAATCTTTTGTTCTTTAATTAATAGCTGGGGATAGTTTTGGAAATCGCATACGAAAGCTACGCGTGATTGAAGCTCTCGAAATGGTTAATAATCCAAATTCTAAACTCATTTGCTTTAAACACAACTGTATCTAATAATGAATAAGTGTCCTTTTGTTTTTTTTATTTTATTTGTTCACTATGCAACTATACAAAACCAGCCTTTCGTGTAGGTTGAAAAGAACAACCCACCAAGATTCATGAAACGACGTATAATTGACTTATAAATTAAAAAATGACGTATAATATTAGACACGTAAACCTCACTTTTTTTTTAAGTAAAATACAGTTCCATAGCCAAAACTTTCACGTTTGTGCCAATAATAGTCACATTTGGCGAAATACCACTTATAGCCACCTCCGTCCAATTCTTTAACGCTGTTAACGTTAAGTGTGACTGGGCAAGCGGAGCAGCTTACGTGGACCGCCAGTGATTTCCACGTGGACAATAATTATAAAAAAAAAACAAAACAAAACATGAAACAGCCTACCCACCGACCATTTGGTCGACTCTTCCTCTTTCCTTATCTTCTCTCTGAAATATCACCCACCCATCTTCCTTCGAAGGCGACGACCACGAAGCCGACCACGAAGACCATCTTCCTCCGACGACCCCCCTCCGACGACCCCCCTCCGATGAACCCCCTATTCCTTCCGCCACCATCAATATACACCCTTCTCATCTCCATTCTCGATTTTCCTTCATAATCCGAAGTTGAACCTACCGACTCCTTCCTCGAGAAACATAACAGAGAATGGGTTGACTAACCGACGCCGAGCTTTGGCCGAGTCTTTCCAAGCTTCTTCTCTTCTGTATGCTTTGGAGGAATCTCGGAATCGACAGATTATACTCTGAAACCCTAATCTCCCCTCGAAACCGATTTGTCCTCTCCCTCGTCAGTCGCGAAGCCGGATTTCTTGACCACACAAGGCTTATTGCACCAACAGAGTACCACGCCTAGTTTCTGAGTGCTAGTCGAACTTGAGGAAGCTATTCGCCTGGACATGCCTGCAGCTCACTTGAAGTGCTGGGCAGGAGAAATCGCGGAAGGAGAAGGAGAGGGTTGCGTCGTCGTTGCGAGTCGGAACAGAATCGATCGGAATCGGAATCGCGGAAGGGAGTGAGGATTCGATGAGAAGGGAGTAGAGGATTCGTGGAGAGTGGAATTTGGGGGAAGAACACTAATTCCGAAATCGGAATCGATTAGTAGAGGAATCGGGGAGAGTGGAAAGTTGAGGATTCGGGGAGAGTCGAAATTTGAAGTTTGGGAGAGGAACCCTAATTTTTAGATCGGGCAAAAATTGGGGCTGAAGGACTCGCTTCGATGGAAATGGAATATATGGTAAGAATTTTTTTTTAATAATGTAATATATAAGTTTTTTTTAATAATGTAATATATGACGTGTCAAGATGACGTGTCAAGACTTGCTTAGTTGGCGCTGACGTGTTCGAGTTCTTCTTGCCTAATCAGCAAACCGTCTACTTATTTGACGGTGTTAGTAACGCCGTCAATGTTTCTAACGGAAAAGGCTATATTTGTCCAACAACATTTTCAAAAGGTGGCTATACGTGGTATTTCGCCAAATGTGGCTATTATTGGCACAAACGTGAAAGTTTTGGCTATAGAACTGTATTTTGCCTTTTTTTTAATACAAAAGGGCAGAGAGAGAGAGAGATCAAAATCTAACTCTCATGAAAGCAAATGATAAAAGCTGGTAAAGCTACTGCTACTGCCCATTTCCCATTAAAACCGATCCACTTTTCCCTATTTAATGTATCCTCGACCATACCTGAAATCTTTGCTGCGGATCCAATTGAGGGCCCAAAATGTGCAAAACCCTATCAGCAGGGTTGTCAAACCTTGTTCCAACAGTTCTCATGGAGGCAACCCAAACCAAAAAACAATAGGGCTAGGGTGGCTTTACGCGTTCTCAACTATTTGATTGATAATCATAAGATTATGGTCCATGTGTAACGCAAATTCGACACACAATCGTGTATCGCATGCATCACAATCATCTGACTTGAAAATGCACAAGAACAGTAGGGTACGTCCACAACCTTTTGATTTTCCTCGTTTCGCACACACCACAACCATCCGGACCCGAGAGCACTAGATTTTGATCTCCCAAATACTCTGGGTAAGAAAACCCACTATAAATGCCACCCACCATAAAGCTAGCAGAATTCTCAATACAAATGCCACCAATGACCAACCCCTGGCCTGCATGGTTTTCACTACTAAGCCATGGCACAGCAGCAGCAGCTGAAGCTGGACACAGATATCTGTAGCGAATAACAGAAGGTTGAAGAACTGTGTTACAGAAAAAAAAAAAAAAAAAAAAAAAGAGCCCCTCCTCTAGAAGACAAAATACACTACAGCACAAATTCCCCCAGAAGAATCTAAAAAGGGAAGCTCATTCTTCTTCATCATCATCATCTCCCTATAAAAATAATCAAACAACCCTTTACTCGATCCAAATCTTTCATCCACAAACTTTCCTTCCTTCAGGCATTTTTCTCAGTTGCTGCTACCGTTGTTGTACTCTACAAAAGAACTCAACTTCTTCTTCTCCTTCAGAATCTCGTTCAGTGGCTTCGGTCCATCGAAATTCGCTGACTCAATTACACCCATATCATCGTCATCTCTGTCCTCGTTGTAATGCCCATTTCTCTCAACGACCCTTCTCTTCTCTTCTCTTATTTGAGCAAGACTCTTTGGCCCCGAAAATTCCCCAGATACCTCAACTGACCTCTCTCTTCCAACTGGCTTCCTCCTCAACTCTGATGGCACAAAATCCCTCTCAGAAGGTATAAAAGGTGGCTGTGGCCTCCTTGGTACCCCCCTTCTTTCCCTGTGGTGTAGCCTTGGTGCCCTATCATACGGAGAGTGCCTTGAGGGTATTACATAATCACTACCATTCCTTCCTCCCACCTCAGATGCCAATCTCCCACGTAGCCTTTCACTCAGTCCGTGCTTGTAAGGTCTTTCACGGCTCCTGTCCCTGCGTGGAAGTGATTCGTCGTGGTGCCGCCTTCTCATCGATCTCTCCAAGGGTGGCTCACCATCGTCGATGGCACGGCGTTTCCTCAGGTGGTCCCGGAGATCCACTCCGCGCCTTTCACGTGATCCCAATCGCCGTTCATACTCAACTTGCCGTTCTTCTAACTCATATTCCACAAATGGAAGATTGCTATCAAGCTCTCTACCTTCTTCCCTGTTGAGGGACACCATGTACTCCTGCTCATTCTCGTAGCATAGATTTTGATCTTCTGCCTCTTCATCATTATCGACGAGAACATCGAAACCGGGAGATGATTCCCACCGCTCCTCCGGTTCTACATGACCATCAATGTTCTCTTCTGAGTCCTGATCAGCAGCACCCATGTATGATCCGGCCTCGTTGTAGCTTTCAGATGGCAACAAGGTATCAGAAGACTCGAGAACACCAGCTGGATCACCATGAGGCGCACTGATTTGGAGAGAGGAACTCTTTGGTACCACATCTTTAGGGACAGATGGCTTCTGATGAGTTGCTAGGGGAATATTGTTCTGCGCCTTGGGGGCGGGGACAGATGCAGCTTTAGTTCCTGACAGAGTCTTGTTATTGCTGTCAGCAGGATGAACAACAGAGTTGTTGGTGGGAGGCGGTGGCTTCAGAGTTTTTGCAGTTGGGATGGAGCTGACATCTGGAGAATGGGAAAATGTGCATTTCTCGCCTTTGCTGCAGTAGCCCTGGAAGTGGAAGTAACAAGGTACAGAGGTCTTGTTTGATTGTTGAGGAGGCTGACTTGGCGCTGGACCCGATTCTGAAGAAGCTTCAGCTGGCTTCTCTAGAGGCTGTTGACAGTTAAGGTGTAATATTATTAAATGAATATAAAATTAAAAAACAGCACTGAAGTTGAATGCTCTAGTATCAACATATACACCCTAGAGATGACAACAGAAGCGCTCGAATACCACAAAACAAAAGCACTGTGTTCCAAAATGGGTGTTGGTGTCATTTATTGCCACAGCAAATCAAGAATACAAGCTCAAGTGCATGGCCCAGGCAAGAAGCACTTGGAGAAAAGAGCTCAAGATAGAAGTACCTAAATCTAGATCGAAATGTAAGCCATAACAGGAAACAGCAAAAAGTCTTGAAATTGAATGCCAACTCAAAAAAGAGTTTAATAAGAGGCGATGGGTAATGAGAGGCAACCAGGATTTAATTCATGTTTCCAGATCATCCTGGCATAGGTAATGGGAGGCAATGACTAAATATAGATCCAGCAGTCAGTTCAGGAAAATGCAGAGATGAGAAGGGAAAAGAAGGAAAAAGAAGACAGAAACCATGGTAAGTTAGCAAGCTGCTCATCAGCACAATAAGAAATAGACATTGAGACACTAAATAAAAGATGACCTAAAGGCATTCAGCAAAGATGTGGACTACCATTTACAATCACTGAATCTATACCTTAAATAGGTGAAACATTCACTAAAAAAACGTGAAGTATGCTAATTTCAGAGCTCACTTGACTACAACGAGATTTCTGGGAGGAGACAGAACACACATACATTCACAACCAAAAACAGGACAACGGAAACAAGTCCTAAGACTTATAATCAGTCTGATGATCAAAATGTACGATGTTAGGCGGTGCTATCATCTTCTAACACTCAAAGATAAGGCAACTAGAGCCTCTAAACAGTAGCAAACCCTCATCACAAAAGCCATCGGAACCATGAATGTGAACTTCCTACAAGGATACCACCTTTTTACTTGCAGTTACAAATTCGAGAATCAATTATCACAGGTGCAAGCACATGGAGCCAGAAGCAATTCCCTCATTAAAATGTTAAAAGAAAGAACAACTTACAGGATGTCTGAAGGCACAGGTTGGGTTAAGGCAGGTTCCGGACAACCAGAACCAGCAATCCCTAGGATTGAGCCTTGCCATCTCACTATGCCGATAATCACATTCAGCTCCCTGCAAACAAACCAACTTCGTCATCAATATGATTCAATAAGTGCATGGCTTTACTTGAAACCTAATTGCATGAATCTTCCGCAAGCAATTGAAGACAGAAGAGGTTCATTGTTGACAAATCAAACATTTCAAGTAACACCAAGAAATCCAAATTCTCAGCTCCTCGACAGAGCAAGGTGGGTAACCTAACTATCCTCCAATAGGCAAACAGTCACTCCAACTACCCGTTACAGCTACAGAAATAACGGTGGATTCGCAACCAAACTAACCACCACAAATCCCAGTAGCATAAGCAGAAACCCTAAAAAGAAATCTGACTAAACCCCTTTCTGAGGGGGACAACAAGAACCAACGGCATCCCATTATTAGCATGAATTCGAAACCCTGGAAAAGAACGCAATTCCGCATGGCGGCAGGAATTGGAGAAGGAGGATGAAGAGTGGCGAGAAGCAATGGAAGTAGAATGAAGGAGTTGAGTGGGTAGGGAAAAGATCGAACAAGAAACCTTCTTGCAAGTGAGGGGAGAAGCGAGGAAGTAAACGCAATCCGTGTTCCGCTTCTGCAATTCTTCCTCCATACTTCCTTGCTGGTTCTTTCTTCCTTTCAATTCAAAAGAGGGTGGGAAAAGGATGGAGGCGGAGGCGATGGCGGCGAGAGAAGGAGGGAGGGAGGGAGTGGGCTTTTTCTGCAGAGTCGCCTCCTTTTCTGTTGCCTTACGCCGCTGGAGCTCTCTTCCAGTGTACAGCGGAGCGGGAGCGACAGGGGAGAGAAAGGGAGAGAGAGATTGCCGGGCTTTTAGCCTGAAAGCTTTTTAGGGCCTCTTGTTTGGATTTTCTTTGGGCTATTTGTTGGGTTTTTTGTGGTTATAGATTAGACAGATTGGATTTGGGACGGTTGTCTCTGTCTTTAAACTAATCATGTCACTGGATGAGATATGATATGATTAATCAATGCTGTTAACGAATTTTTGTTGGAATATTATGCTCCTTCGATTAATTTTTATTATAGTTACTTAGTTAGGCCAAGTTATTAGGAATTTAGGACCATATACAACTTTATGTTCAGATGAAATGTGCGATATCAATTTTCATAGGTGATGGATATAAGTATAACCGGGAAAAGATGAAGGTATGACTCGAAAAATTGTGGTATTGTAATTTTTTTCCTAAGATTAGAAAGAGTAGGTTCAGCGAATGATGGCTAGCCTAGTTGGTGGAACGTCCACGGACACGAGATGGATTGTGTTTTGAATCGGATTAATTGCACTGGATGCCATTTAAGTTTCAGCTTGGTTGCAAGTTAGCCACTTAAATTTGTCTTGTAGCAACTAAAGCACTTAAGCTCTATTTTTGTTGCACTGTTATCTTTTTCATCCAAAAAGTTAACATCAAGTATGAAAACGTAATTTTCTAGCCACGCAAACAATGCCAGCTCAGTCTAAATTTGTTTGGTTATCAACTGAAACTTAAATGACATCAATTAACCCTGCATTTTATATCGTCTTCCTCTCATTCCCTTTCAATCTCCATCTCTTTTTGTCTCCTTAGGCCAATCACTGTGCAGTCCACTCCTTCTCCCCCAAGCTCCAAATCTAGTCCTACATTAACAATGTCCATCAGGCCATTCGCCGCCAACCTCGAGTGCCCACTAAGTCAACTCATCTCCCAACTTAGAAATTCCGACATGCACTCCACCGCCTGTGAGATCTTCCTCGCCCTCACCTACACTTCATCCGCCAAGCTCCTCTCCACTGCCACCTCACCTGAACACCACCACAACCAATCTGGTACATCGGACAAGCCTAGATAGAAAGACTATAGCCTCAATTTGCTACCTCTGTAAGTTCCAACATCTACTGCGGATAAATATAACTCATTCGTCGAATCTTTGTTGCCCACTACCTCATTGATCATATCACCTACTCAAACCAACCATCTCACCTCGCCAATCGCCAATTCATCTCTCCGCCCACTGTTGTCGATAACCCTACTCCTTACCAGAATAGTTCGTCGATAGCTACTCTATCGAGTGAGCCCCATCCATGTTGATATCTACTGTTCTCCTTTCGAGATTCTGAGTTGCAGTCTATCGACCGATGAAAATAGCAACAATAAGAAGTCATCTTGCTGGTTCCTCTCGGTGAGGGTTTCGACTGGAATAGAAATTTTCTTTACACAGCGTCGTGATTGAGTATATGTTGATACTATGTTTCTTCTGTATAGAAACAGGGGAACTTTGCAGTGGCCACAATTATTCTGGTCATGAAAGTTTGGGTGTCCTTGGGTTTGATCTTCATTCGAAAGAGGATGAGCTTTAGTTTTTCTTTTTCAATTTTACGAAATAGGAGAAGAGTGGAAGAGAGCTAGGTCAATTCTTCATTTTATTTTGATTTCTGGTTTAATCTTCTTTGGATGGAAATATTTGTACTATGTGAATCAGTAATTTAGACTGAGTTGGCAATATTTGTGTGGCTGGAAAATTACGTTTTCATACTAGATGTTAACTTTTTGGATGGAAAAGATAACAATGCAACAAAAATAGGGCTTAAGTGCTTTAGTCGCAACCAAACAAATTTAAGTGGCTAACTTGCAACCAAGCTGACACTTAAATGGTATCTATTGCAATTAACCCTTTTGAATCCCCACAAGTGCAATGATCCCTTCAGTTCAGTAGTACTGTGGCGTTGGAGGCCTTGGTCTTGAGGTGGTTGGTTGAGTTGTACTGCACAAAATGCGGTCGTACTCCCAGTGGATATATAACAAGCAAAAGCGTGGTCGTACTCTGTCACTATAAGTGACTTTCGCAGGTAAGGGTTTTCCATCATAAAAAAAAAGAGTAGGAATATGGTGAAAAGCAAAAGAAACACGAAATAAAGACCAATGGTTGAAGTAGTTGAGAAATGGTAGAAAAAGTACTCAAAGAATTTTTTTTATAAGAGCATGAGGAATAATTACTAAATGATTTAGGTATTCTTACGCCATACATATGTTTTTTTTATATATCCAAGATAAGCCCACAGGGCATGGCCGGACAACAAACATATAAGACATATAATGATAAAGAACGGTAGTCCGTATGCAACCGGACTCCCGATAAAAGAGCATGTTATGCCACGAGATGGGCAGCTCTAAGAAAGCTCCAAAGAGCAAAATGACACGAAACTGACTCAGATAGAAAGAAGAAGGAGAATACTTCCCCATGAATAACCCGTATGGGTGATAAGGCATCTTGATTACGTCTAAATACGAAAGCTAAGGAAACATCCCCTGCAAAACAAAACAAACTGATAGACCGATAAAATTAATTTAATTATCTTCAATTACTTCCACCAAATGAGCACAGTGGCTGGAATAATGAAAGAAAGTAATTGCATATATTAGTAAGTAATTAAATTAATTACAAAAAGAGGTGACTTAACGAATTCCCGTCCCGGAAATGTAGTCAAAACCCATGAGTAATGAAATTTGCAAGTAGGAAAGGAAAGATTAAGAATTAGTTACGGACTATAAAGGGGAAAGATTAGAAATTCACACCCACGACCCCATAAATGATGATTATTAGTATTTAAACCTCTATGAAATAAAGAGACCAAGAATAGGCAATTAACAATGGAAAAAGGCAATTAATTACTGAAAACGTAATCAGCAAAAAATTAAATCACCATTTTGAGTCTCGGAAAATTTGTACCTGAGAGAAATTAGAGGAAACGGAAAATTAAACAGAATTACCCTTACCGTCTACCTCTTAATTAATACCTATCGGAAAGATCCTCTTCACCGGAATCTTCATCGGCGAAGTGAAAAGGTACGACGAAACCATGATTTTGGGCAAGAAAGCTTCAATCCGATTCCATGTTTGATGCTCCCTGAAACCATGAAATTGGGCAAGAAAGGAACCGCATTGCAGCTTCCTTGTCGTCCCAAGGAGTCTCAATGAAGGAGCACTAAATAGACGACATGCTCCTGATAAACAGAGCGTAGAAAGGCTTTCTGATATTGTACAAGCCTCATAACCAGAGATCTTTTGGATGTGACAATAGAAAATTAACCAGCCACTACAAAAGCAATAATTAAATTGACAAAAAATAGGAACTTTTTGAAGAGATTAGAAATCGCGAATCCAGAGTTGGGCATCGATTTGGATTCGTCAAAGAAAGGGGGGAAAACTCTTACGTAACTCGACCCCGAGACCTCATGTCGGGGTTTGATTTGAGTGCCGGGGAGATGTTTGGGCAGATCTCTGAGTCTCTGCGCAAAAGAGGAAGGGGAACCGGCGGCTGCCTCCGTCGACATCTTCTCCACGCTCCGGCGCAGCTTCTTCCATGTTCCCATCGGAGATGAATGATTGATAGAAGAGACTCCCATACATATGTTTTCACCAATAAAAAACTTAAATGTTCAAGAAAATGCTAGACATAAAGCAGACGTTGGGGGAGATAGATAGAGTCATAAAAGTAATTAAAAAAATGGAGAGGAACGCTCTGTCCTCTCTCTTCGAAAACCCTATCTTGCCTTTTCTGTGATGCCTCACCTTCCTCACCGCTGCGTTCTCTAGGGCAGAGACCAGGGAGATTACGGTGTCTCTTAGATGGCTGGTTAATCGGTGGGATGTGGACAAATCAGAAGGAATCGAACGATGGGGATCCCGATTCGGAGTCTCGATGGAAGAAGAAGACCTAACACGGGAGCTATTTTCTCGCGACTGGGAATTATTTGCGAAGGAAGGGAATCTCTGGAAATATATCCAGATCCGCAGATGGGATGAAATCTCGAAAAAAAAGATGGGGATAAACCCAATAGCTTAATAAGCAAAAGATACGGTGCATCGTCTGGCACCGAAGTGGGTATATATTACCACTAATCGGAGAATAGATCCGAACACTGAATACATTCAGAAAGCAGAGCAAAAGAAATCTGATCCAGTTGAGCTGGATATACCTTCTTCACAAGGTAATAGCATCATTATTGAGATTATTTTTTTTCTTCTTCCAAGTAATGACATGAGAAAAAATAGTTAGAAACCTCTACCCAAAGCCCCACCCAAAGCAACATGATTGAGATGATTATTTACAGATTATATGTGCTCTGGCTCATCCTCCACATTAGTGTTCTGCTTTTCATCTCCCTGTTTCGTGTCTTTTTCCAGCATTTTCAGGGGTGCGAGAGGATAGGAATCATGTCAGGGGAGCCTATGGACGCTGACTAAATTGTGGAGTTTGAGCTGGACGATGTGGAAGAGAGCATGAAGAGGTTTGAAGCTTAGCCTGATTGGTAGGTTGTTTCTTGACAACCCGCCTAGTCTGAAAACCATCCAGCGGATTGTGCAAGGGGAGTGGTCGTGCTCAGGCAATGTGACAATCATTGAGGCGTAACTAGGTCTGCTTCAATTCCTTTTTTGAAGATGAACGTGACAAGTACTGGGTGCTTCAGCGCACTCCATGGCAGGTGAAGGACCGCATTTTGCAGCTGCAGCAGTGGGAACCTGTTACTCTTGAAGTGGTGGAATCGCTGGGGAAGGCACCATTCTGGGTGCAGATGTGGGGGATTCCCTCACATTGTCGAACAATTGCTTTTGGGCGGCGGATGGTGGAAGCAAAGTTAAGGATGGTGCTGGATGCTGGGTTGTTTGGGATTCGGGGAGTCCCTGGTCACTTCGTGAAAGTAAGGGTGAAGCTCAACGTCCTCGAACCCCTTCGATCACAGCTGTTTGCCAGCAATCCTAGTGTGGGGAAGTTCTGGTTTACACTAGTTTATGAGCATCTTCCACTCTACTATTACCATTGTGG